CACTAACGTTAGCTAACCTTGCAACACTATAGAGCTCCGGGAGTTGACGTCACTTCTCCCGGCATGCAACAGCTCAAATTGAAACGGCGCCATCTTGGCAGGCAGTAGCCTGCAGCTGGGCTATTAGTTATTGTCCAAAAACTCAATCAAATGGGAAATATGGTAGATTCCTGTTGTGCACCAGGATGCAGAACAAACACGGACGAGATAAGGGAAGAGCCTTCTACAGGATACCCCAAGATCCGGAACGCCGCAAACATTGGTTCATTGCAATAAATAGGGCTGTAGCGAAGCCTCGACGAAGTCGATGACTCGATTCTAAAATTTTGTCGACGTCAGATCCGGAAGTCGACGCACCGCGCCCACTTGTTGCATCCCCAGGAGTTTGTAAATAGAGGAGGAATCTGCCTGTTTTTCCTCTAGTTCGCCCTCTTCTCCGCCTTCACTAACATCTCCGCCAAATACCGAAGACCCGGAACAACGTCCGTCCACTACTAGATTATTTTCCTGTTTTGCCCCTTCGTCTCCCGGCAACGGGCAACAACTTCCGGGGTCAGATGCGCTGCTTCGTGTCTATCGCAGATGTAGAAAATCACCGGGAGCGCTTCTCCCTTCATTAAGGAGCTTCTTTCAGACATCAGGAGAGCTGTTTTGGTGGTAGCAGTCTCTCCTCCGTGCTGGTCTGTTTGCTGCTGGGTGTTTTTGGTTTATTTAAACTTGGTAACTTTAACTTAATGTTGGTAAAGCTACTGTTAGCATCTTCGCTAACAGCTTCTTGCGTTGGGATAAGCTGTTACGATTTGGTTTAGAGTTCATCTTTTTTGTGGTGCAGATCTCCCTTTTATTACATTTAGAGTGTTGTGGGGTTTCGGTTTAGTGTAAAATATCACCTGAGTTTGGTTTAACCCGTAAGACCACTCGCCTCACGCACATAAGTGACCAAAACAAAGCAGCATGGAGACACTCCATCTTCTACCACCTCTCAGGCAGCAGCCTGCACTCCCAAGTTCTACACGTCACCAGAACATAACCAACCGCAACACAATAAAAGCAGTGTTATACAAAATGGAAGGCCTGTAGTATTTATTCTCTTACAGTAAGAATTTATCCATTTTTTTGAGGAATTTATTTGAGATTTTCTGGTTTTTGTTAATTGTGCAATAGAAAAATAATCATTAGATTAATTTTCTAAATAGTCATTAGAATAGTCGACTATTCGATAAAATAATCGTCAGAATAATCGTTTTAAAAATAATCGTTTACCCCCAGCCCTAGCAATAAAACACGCTAGTGACCGGGCTAAAATGAAGCTGTGGGATCCTGAGAGTAAAGGTTTTCGCGTATGCAGCGACCACTTCATATCAGGTACTTAAACCAACATTTCCTCAACTGTGTATGGCATTTATTTTAAATGCTTTTATTGCGATTCTTAGTGGGCTTCCTAAACTTATTTTGGCGTGGCTTTTTCTGTCTTTTTACTCACAGCAACAAGTAAACAACACGTAAAACGTTGCCTCGTGATTTCTGCGTGCTGCCGTTTACGTGTCATATGATCGCAGCAATTAACCGGCTAAGCTGTATTTCATTTTTAAGCAATGGTTGATCACACATAAAAATCACATTGGACTGCTATTATCTGTCTCACCGAGACAGATCTCAGACAGATCCTGAGATGCTCCTGCCTGACATATTTATTTTATTCACGGAAAAAAATCAGACTAGTGATTTCTTTTGGCGTTCAGTTTATACATTCAAACAGCACAGCACTCTATTTAAACTACTTACATGAAAATGTATGTTATTTGTGTTTTTGTTTAATCAGTTTTATAAATTATAAATGTCAGGGCATCTCAAATCCGGTAAGAGGTCTGCTCCGACAGCTTCTGGCGTTTTAAAAAGTATCCCAGGGGCACGGTAAGGGTCGGAGATGTTTAATCAATTTAATTTCTGACTATATAAAACGATTTCTTCTGTTTTAAAGTGTGAAGTAAACTCAGACGGAGTAAAATCCAAGCCAATCCCGTTCCTTTTGTTTACCTTTGTTGCCTGCCAACATGGCGTCTACTCTCTGAGAACCACGTGACGTCCAGAGCTCTATAGATGGTTTTCTGTGTGGCTGTATGTGTTTATGATTTAATGGAAAAGACAGCGATTGTTCATATGTTTATGATGTATATTAATGATTGTTTCAGGTGTTGTTGAGGTGTTGTGCACGCATGTGTATCTGCTAGCGTTGAAGGTGTTTTAGAGAACAATAGGTACCCATGGCCACTTCCTTCATAGCACCCTCAATAAAAAGACTAGCTCCTTCATAGCACCTGCAGAAAAAATGTCTGGAGCTGCCACTGAACTAAATAAACCCTGTATATCAGGAAAATATTGTCCTCAGTTTTTGTCTAAATTTTGCCTAAAATGTGTTATTTTGTAATTATGTTGTTTATTTGTTTACATATTTCCCCTTTAGTCTTTAAAATACCAATATTTGCCCATAACTTCTTATTTTTGTCTGTTTGATGTCATCATTTAAAAATATTAGATCAGATGATACTCAGTACTCAAGTAGCCTTCTAATCAGATACTTTTTTTTTACCCTTACTTGAGTAATAAACCCTATATCAGGAAAATATTGTCCTCGGGTTGTGTTCTTCCGGTGAGCTTTGCAGATGTGGGAAAATGTCATCAGGCAGTAATCATTGTTAAATTCATAATTATTCTCGGAGAGAGACCAACTCTTATCTGCCGCTGGAAGCCCCGTAATGCATTGCAACATTTTAATATGGGGGTGTCCGCGACACGATTTATATGCAGGTAGCGGTGCTGCGGCTGCTTTATATAGCGACTCGTTGCATTCTCCCTCAACCCCAAATCCTCAGATCACGCATTTTTAGCTAAAATGCTAACGCTAACTTGCCTTGCGTGTAGAGTTGTGGGTGATGGTCACGCAGATGTGTCATGAGATTTGAAGAGTTGCTGCCTTTCACAGACACTTTCCTGCGTGTGCTGCAAACAGGATAGCCGTCTTCTATCAACTGTCCCTCGGCATTCTTCAAATATCCAAAAAATGCCCATACTTCCGACTTTGTCTTCTTTGAGGGATAATAAATGTCCTGAGCGCTGCCATCTCCTCCTTTGGCCATTATTTCAGCTTTAGCTTCAAGAAAGTTTTGGTTGCACACAACAAAGTGCGCATGTGCTGCCGGCAACTTCAGCAAATGATACGGTGGCTGGTAAGGGTCACCGCGCCTACACCGCCACGGTAATCCACCGAGATAATAAAATTTTTAAAAAACAAGATGTTTATTATTATTGTCAACTTTTTTACGGGGTTTACCGCTACACTGGTTACCGTGACAACCCCAGTGGTGGTAGTGATGGTTTGGGTCTGCTGTGCTGCTTCAGGACCTGGATCACTTGAACCATTAATCAGGCAATAAAGAAGGAAAATGTCCAATCATTGACCTCAAACATGACCCCCAATGTGGCTAAAGAAAAGAAGAGCGAATAAAAATTGCTCAATAGTGATGAGTAACTCATTAGTGATCACACACATGCAGTACTGCAGTGGCCGCCATAAAGGGTGTTACAACAACTTAATAGGTTTAGGGACTCGAGAGCTATTGCTTTTTCCACATTAGGTCTGGTTGATTAACATAGCTTTTAAATAATAATAAAAAATGAATAAATTGTAATGTAAAATAAGGTGTTGTGTATTTACCTGTTGTCTCTGAAACAGTTTAATGCCAAAAACAAAACAAAAAAAATACAGATTAAATCTGTAAGGGGCAAATAAATTTTCACAGCTAATTAAATTGAATGCTAATATATCAAATATTCCAGCAATATTTCCGGGAGATGCTGCTTTCTGCATCTTGAGCCTGACTGGTGTGTCTTTTAAATAGAAAGCAGGTTCAAAAACCAAACCGCTCTCTGGCTACCAGTGCTGACTTTTGTAAACCACATATCTCATGAGACAAAAGCCTCGTCTCACCAGCCAAATATTGTGACAGATAATAAAAATAAGATGCAGTCATATTCAGACAAGCCAAACTTAGACACACTCCGGTGTAATTAACACAAACTCATGTCTAGCACCTGCAGTCACACACACACACACACACACACACACACACACACACACACACACACACACACACACACACACACACACACACACATCAGCATTACATCAATTCAGCTTGTGTTTACACACACCGAGGAGACAATCATTCTGTAAAGGGGCTCTTGTGTCATGCTCAAGGACAATGTTCTTCTGTGTGTGTGTGTGTGTGTGTGTGTGTGTGTGTGTGTGTGTGTGTGTGTGTGTGTGTGTGTGTGTGTGTGTGTGTGTGTGCGTGTGTGTGTGTGTTTGCACGCGCGCGCGCTCAAACACACAATCTAGCTGTGTCAGGAGTCAAACCGCGGACTCAGAGAGGAGCAGCAGGTTCGCACAAGGCTGCCCCCTGCAGATAAATCGAGGAACATTGTCTCACAGCGAAGAAGAGGAACGATACAGTAAATAACGTTGAACACAACGCACAACATAAACACACACACCTGCTCTCAGTCTGCAATATCTGCTTACAACATCAAAGTGTGTGTATGTGTGTGTTTGAACGCGAGTAAAAAGTGTGTGCTGTCCCAAAACTTGTCGATGCGCTCTCTCAGTCTTGTGTGATCCAGCAACAGCAGCTCGAGTTAAGTTGATAAATGCTTCACCTTTCCAAAACACACACACAATGTGCACTTCGTAGCTGTGATCAAGCCCGTAGCTTCCGTGCTGCCATGCTTAACGGAGCTCCAACACTCGGTGCACGGTGCCCTCCGCAACGCACCGATGGCTTAATGTTGTGTGTGTGTGTGTGTGTGCGTGCGTGCGTGCGCGCGCGCACTGTCGCTGGAAACCAAACTCAGTACATTTCCGACTGGGTCAACATGCAAAGCTAAAAACAAAGCCTTGTGACTAAAACCTAGACGTGGGCACGCGGGCAGTGCGGACTCACCTTGTGAACGAATCTTTCACCCGGCTCGGTAATTTCTTCTTTACACCATTAACTCTCCGCCATCTTCGGCACTGTTTGTTTAAATGGGAAACACTCCCGAAGCCTCCAAGAAGCCAGTTCTGTAAGTTGAGGTGACGCAAGGGCTTCTGGGAAACCGAGTTCAGGGGAAATGAGCGCTCCGCTCTTGGCTCCTCCGAATGAAACGGATACGGACTACAGGCGGACTACACCACCGCGCGGAGGTGGAGGGGGAGGAGGCACCGTCTGTCTAGCAGCCTGCAGAGACAGATGATGCCACCGTAAGTGTTATCATTTAACCTCGAAATGACACAAAAGCAACGGCGAAAACGCCAACTTTGATAGTCGGCAGAGGAGGCGCAGACAGACATTTCTTACTTTTAATGCCGTTGGTGTTTACTGACAGAGACGAGCATAAACCTGATCAATTTTAAATAAAACCAAGAAAAAGCACACCACAGAAAATGTGCATTTGTAACCATCCATCCATCCATCCATTTTCATCTGCATATCTGGAGTCGGGTCGCGGGGGCAGTTGCCTAAGTCGAGAGGCCCAGACTTCCCTCTCCCCAGCCACTTGGGCCAGCTCCTCCGGGGAAATCTCAAGGCGTTCCCTGGCCAGGTGAGAGACATAGTCCCTCCACCGTGTCCTGGGTCTACCTTTAGGCCTCCTCCCGGTTGGACATGCCTGGAAAATCTCACCAGGGAGGCATCCTGACCAGATGCCCGAGCCAGCTCAACTGGCTCCTCTCAATGTGGAGGAGCAGCAGGTCTACTCCAAGCCCCTCCTGAATGACCGAGCTTCTCACCCTATCTCTAAGGGAGAACCCAGCCACTCTGTGGAGAAAACTCATTTCAGCCGCTTGTATCCGCAATCTCGTTCTTTCAGTCACTACCCAAAGCTCATGACCATAGGTGAGGATAGGAATGTTGATCGACCAGTAAATAGAGAGCTTTGCCTTCTGACTCACCTCTGTCTTCATCACGACAGACCGGTACAACGCCCACATCACTGCAGATGCAGCACCAATCCGCCTATTGATCTCATGCTCCAGTTTTCCCTCACTCGTGAACAAGACCCCGAGATACTTAAACTCCTCCACTTGGGGCAGGACCTCATCCCAGACCCGGAGAAGGCATTCTACCCTTTTCTGAATCAAGACCATGGTCTCAGATTTAGAGGAGCTGATTCTCATCCCAGCTGCTTCACACTCGGCTGCAAACTGCTCCAGCGAAAGCTGAAGATCACGTTCTGATGAAGCCAACAGGACCACATCATCTGCAAAAAGCAGAGACCTGATCCTCAGGCCACCAAAACGGATGCCCTCCATACCTTGGCTGCGCCTAGAAATCCTGTCCATAAAGGTTATGAACAGAATCGGTGACAAAGGGCAGCCTTGGCGAAGTTCAACTCTCACTGGGAACGATTCTGACTTACTGACGGCAATGCAGACCAAGCTCTGACACCAGTCATACAGGGACCTAACAGCCCGTATCAGAGGGCCTGGTACCCCATACTCCCAGAGTACCCCCCACAGGGCCCCCCGAGGGACGTGGCCAAACGCATTCTCTAAATCCACAAAACACATGTAGACTGGTTGGGCAAATTCCCACGCACCCTCCAGGATCCCCCTAAGGGTATAGAGCTGGTCCAGTGTTCCACGGCCAGGACGAAAACCACATTGCTCCTCCTGAATCTGAGGTTCAACAATCCGATGGACCCTCCTCTCCAGAACCCCTGAATAGACCTTACCAGGAAGGCTCAGGAGTGTGATCCCCCTGTAGTTGGAACACACCCTGCGGTCCCCCTTTTTAAATAAGGGAACCAACACCCCGGTCTGCCGGTCCAGTGGGACTGCCCCGATGTCCACGAGATATTGCAGTGCCGCGTCAGCCAACACTGCCCCACAACATCCAGAGCCTTAAGGAACTCCAAGTGGATCTCAGGAGCTTTTTAACCACCTCAGTGACCTCAGCACCAGAGATTTGAGAGCCCAACTCAAAGTCCCCAGACTCTGCTTCCTCACTGGAAGACGTGTCGGTGGGATTGAGGAGGTCTTCGAAGTAATCTGTCCACGGATCGACTAAGTCCTGAGTAGAGGTCAGCAGCACACCGTCTCCACTATAAATAGTGTTGGTAACGCACTGCTTTCCCCCTCTGAGGCGTCGGATGGTGGACCAGAATCTCCTCGAAGCCGTACGGAAGTCTTGTTCCATGGTCTCACTGAACTCCTCTCACGCCAGGGTTTTTGCATCGGCGACCACCCGAGCCGCTTCCGCTTGGACTGCCAGTACCCGGTGCATTTGTAACATTAATATGTAATATTAAAGTAGTTAAAATTTACTTAAAATAATGATGATTTGTATTCTGACATTATTCAATTCAATTCAGTTTATTTATATAGCGCCAAATCACGACAAGTCATCTCAAGGCACTTCACACAGTAAACATTTCTATAGAGTTCAGTCCAATAAACCAATCAGTAAAACGTTTTCTATAAAAGGAACCCAGCAGGTTGCATCGAGTCACTGACTAGTGTCAGAGTCTTTACAGCAATCCTCATACAAAGCAAGCATGTAGCAACAGTGGAGAGGAAAACTCCCTTTTAACAGGCAGAAACCTCCAGAGGATCCTGGCTCATTGTAAGCAGCCATCCTCCACGATTCACTGGGACGGAGAAGACAGAGCAGACACACTTCTACACAGTTTAATAACATTCTTATTCTTTTTAAATAGGGTAGCTGCTGTGGGTCTTTTGCCAACAAAATATTTCATAATTCAGCATGCACACCTGAAAACTTTTCCACTGTGCATTTCAAGTAATATATTCAGTGCGTTTACATGCAGCCAGTAACCCTTTTAAAACCCGAATATTCGCAATAACCCGGTTCCGCACGGCCATGTAAACACCGCCAAAAACCTGGATATGCTCATAACCGGGTTTTTAAAAACCCGGTTACTACACCTGGGGTAACCCTTTTCTAACCCGAATGTTTGGTCGTGTAAACGCATATCGAGATATCCCCATTAAAGCGTGTGTTCTGCGCATGCTCTGTTAGCAAGGAATCTTGGTCTTTTGAGTAGCGAGACGTCTTGTATGCGCCAGAACACCGGAAGTAAACAAGTTGGGAGCAACATGGCGAGTCGCGGCACAGCACCACACTTTTGGAGTGACGAGGAAACTAAAGCGCAAACAAACGCGGTCGCTATCTCTTCTGAACTGGGAAACATGTTGTTGTTTTCACGGATACCGGAACAAGAATAACCGGAAATTACGCATATTGCGTCTGGACGTAGTCCATACGTCTTGACGCTACCCCAACGTCCGCATTTAAATCGGGTTATGCAAGTTAGGGGTAACTCTTTCTATTTATGCTTGTAAACGGGTTATTCTGATCAACTCAGAAACCCGAATGCCGACCTTAACCCGATCATAACCCGGATATTGGCTGCATGTAAACGTAGTCACTGACAACATTTAACATTTTTTCATTTTCTTGGTCAGAATTGTATTTGAAAATACTTCAGAATCTCTCACACTATAAAAGCGATAATATTTGGATCTAGATTCTTACTAGGAGTGGATGCGAAAGCTCCCTAACTTTTAGCTCAACATTGAGTGAGACTGTCATCCTTGATGGAGTGAGCTCTTCCACAGATTTTGTGGTTAAGCCGGTGCAACACATCTTTAGTTGTGTGCCCCGACCTCATTTGGTGTTTCGGCCACTTATCACAAGAAACCCTCTGCTGGGATTGGCCCACCCCTGGTTGATCAGACCTGGATGTGTGTTGCGCGGAAGCACCGCGTCATTTGGGAGCCCAAATTGCATCCCTACGTTTCAGTGGACTACGCTGTTAACTGAAATCTGTAGCGGAGAGTACATCTCGTTGTTTGTTGTCTAATAGCATGCAGAGACAGTTTGAAAGACAACTGTGGGTTGTGGCTAGACTTTACATTCACATATGTATGCTGGCGAAGTTTTCAGTCATCCATGTCATGGTAATCCAAAAGGGTTCAGAAGGCAACTTCAAGAAACCAAAGAAGTCCAGCTGCCTTCATCTGAACCCTTTTGGATTTACATATGTAGTATGGTTTGCCAGGCTAGTAGTCTCAATTAGAGGAAGAAATTTGATTTATTGTACAATGGAGGATGAACTTTTAGAAAGGACATGAAATGGTTAGTGGGACAGAAGAAGGTGAAATAGTTATGATCAAGTGAAGACAAACGATCGCCAGGGGCAAACACTTCAATCTGTTTCAAAATATGCTTCCTTCTGACATGATCAGTGCACAGATACAACACAGCCGTTGAAAACGCCACCGCCGGCTGAAAAAACAGCAGCCCCATCCATAATTTGTGAAAAACCAAAAGGAAGTGCATCATTCCTATCTGTAAGTGGTGCTGTGGAATATCCCTTTAACTAAGTTTAGAGCCCACCTTCTCACAAGTTACAAGAAACTCTTTGAATGAAAAGGGAACAACAATGTTTAATACATATGAAGAATTAATACTTTTTAATTAATGGAAATAAAATTCATACTCATTACCTTATGGAAATGATTTATTTGTGTATTTTGTGACATGATGGGGTCTTGATGAGAGCGCCGCTGTTTGGACAAACAACAAAGAGCCGAAACAGGCCAAACTGTTACTTAGTATAGTAATCTTTGCATTAGTAAAACACAAGATTCCTGGGAAATAAATAAAAAATATCACAGACTTAGCTGCAGAAAGCTGGTGAAAGAGCCTTGCATGCATTGCATAAAATCAACATAAATCCAGCTGTTCTGCCTCAAAACAAAAGCAGTAACTGTTAATGATAATTATTGATTAAAAGTGATTCTGTAAACCTACAGAATACACCTGAAAGTATCAACACTTCTCTAATAAATTTACAACTCTTTTACTCTAATTTAAAGACCTTTTTACAACATTCTGTTATACGCAACAGGCACATGTATTTATTCCAAATGAACGCACTTATTGTTCCATGTCACTTCCCCTCATGTTGCCTTTTTGCCGAGCAGCTTTTTATTGAGCCGAGGGACTGAGACGTCTTCGGGCCACTTCTCTCCTGTAGATAAGATCCATATGTCTGTTCCACTTGGGAGCTGGCAGGGTCAGCGCTGGGCTGTTACGTC